GATGAAAAGGGAGACAACTGGAATGTATTCATTAAAAAGCTGCTGTCCCTCTCCCCCTATGCACATGGATTACAGGACCATTTCTGAGATATCATTTTTGAGACAGTGATAAAACTTCTGTCTCCCAAACTTTATGACACATTTAAAAACACTGATGCAATATGAACATTCGTAGCATGAGGTAAGAGAAGAATGAGGTGGAAGGAGTGCAGGTGTAGCCTTTCAAAAGTTAGAACAACTTGGCTCTTCAAAAACAGACCCAGTATAATTTACAAGCTGGGATTCAGAATATACAGGGGCACCTTTTTGTTCTCTACAGCTACTTGGCAGTGCCAGGGGCACAGCAGGTACTGGGACACAGCAACACAGCAATTACTGAATTAATTCAATGAAAGTAATAGTCTTTGCAGTTAATTAAATTACTGTATTTTGATTTTGCTTTATTTGGTCAAATTATGTCCTCCCTTATGTCTGCAAATCTGTTTTACACCTCCATTCTTTCCCCTCACTTCACATTACAGGCTCAAACAGCCAAATTCCACACTGTGAGCCTGACATGAAATCAAAAAGCACCAAGGCCCTGTATTACACGATTGTCACTGACTCAACTTGATTCCAAGAATTCACATTCCAGCTAGAGCCTTTCACTTTTTTTTCCCCCACTATTTCCTTGCAACTCTTCATCCTAAAGATTCATACTCAACTCAATGGAACATTGCCCAAACTAAAAACCCTTTAAAAAGCAGCTTTCAAAAGTATGTTGTGACCCAAAGTAGGGTATTTCTGAAAAGACTGCAGGACATTTTTATGGCAGCATTGACTGTTATATTGCTTGTAGTATAAGAAAATAAGAGTTATTACATTTACTGCTATGATTTTTCTGTTTCTTTTTGGTATCCAAAATTTCCAGTACACTCTCTTGCAGCTGCCCAAGTTCCAAATTTGCTTTTGGTCAAAATTATCAGAGATAAAATCTATAAATAAAACAGTTGCTTTAAAATTGTAAAAAAATTACACCCATCAGTAAGAAGACTGACAAGTTCTCCTACTCTAATTGTGGCTTTGGTTTCTTTAAAATACATTTTTGGCTGCATTATTTATATGGACTAAATACTTCACAATAAGCATTAAGATAATATTCATACTCAAGGATAAAGATGTGCATTGCCAATTACTGTACACAATAACACATTGTTCATTGTATTCTTCAAAAGTATCAAGGCCAACAAGTGCTTAAGTTATGCTGTTAATATACTCTCAACAAATTAACATTAAGGAGTTATGTATCAGTAAATACTAATTCCACCAGCACAAAAATCCCACAAATATAACAGTGGTGTTGAGCACAATGAAATTTACAAAAAGTTGAGATCAGTTTCTCAAAGCAAGATACAAATTATTCAAGCATATACATAATCAAACAACCTTTCAGAACCTTTATTAATGAACTTAAAGCACTGGAAAAATGAGCCACATTTGGTGGGGAGGAGGATAGCCATGCAGGACACTTTTTTAGTAATTGAAAAGTTACTGAAAGTCACTGGACTTTCTTTCTTCTAACAGAAAGGCTGAAATCATTCAAAGGTATTGGAAGGTTCAATTCAGAGGTTAGAAAACAATTTTATACGCACAACTTCACACTCAATATCTCAAGGAAATAACGTTATATGTTATTATACGCCTTAAGAATCAGCAAGGTTAAGACCAAAAACTACAACATTCTCCAGATGGTACAGCAATCTTCCAAAGTAGCAGTACACTAGGCAGCAAAACCAGCCTCACCCATTTCACTAAAAACATACACTTAAAAACTCCAGCTTTGATTACAGCAACAATGGCAACATCTTTAAATACAAAACCTATTCAAAAAAACAGCCAAAGTAAGAAGAAACTGTAATTACAATTGCTCAGTCAACATGTTATTAATTTTAGTAAGTTTCCATAGTCCTAAAAATCCATGCACCTAAAAAAACCCATTAATAGTAGTCAATTTTTCAGCAGTGTTTCCTTAGAATTTATCTATTAGTGTAACAGTAATCATATACGTGGAAAAAGTACAACAAATACTTTAAATTTAGTTGTTGAAAGAACTTTTTTCCTCTTTTTTAGTATTAAAAAGCAAAAAAGTAAAGGAAAAGGCTACAGCAGGACTTAGACTGCAAGAAAATCCTGTATCTGGGCAGGTACTTGGGAGTGAGTATAGGAGAAATACCATTTATTTTATTAAAATATTAATACTGTATTTTTTATTAAGCATAATAATACAAAATCAGAAACAGCATTATTACACACTGAGAAATAGGATGGAGAATCTTCAGCTCCTCCTATGTCATTTAATCACATGTCCAAATTCACAACCAAAACAAAAAATTGTACTATTTACCCAGATGTGTTCTAAAACATCAAAATTTTGTAGTTTATTTTGCTCATTGCTTGGTTTAGGAAATAAAGGAAGTCCCTGAATTATTCAGGAAAACAGTCTAAGAATGAAATTAACAGATTTTTCTTTTCGTTTCTCCTTGGGTTTTAAGACAGAACTTTAACAGAGCACTATACCATCTCTCTTCTTCTCACCTTCTTATTTTCCCATAATAAACACCTACTTGTTTCAGTTTGCATTTTTGTGTTAGTGGTTTCACAGCCTCAGATTCTTTTCCCGGAGCAAACCCAGTTGGCAACAATACAATGCCAAGTTCTTGGTTAATCATTAGCATTGTTCCTCTGTTTGCTCCTCAGAAGCTCCAAGAATGAAGACAGCAGTAGAAATGTCACAAAAATCAAAAATATTAACAGCCCTTTGACAAGTTTGAGAGAAGCCTCAATCACTTGACATCATGCTTGATCAATCTATCCTTTTTTGCATATAGCCACCACTTACTAACAAGCATTTCTGTACCAGCTGAGAAGTACAAAAGGAATGGCAGCCTATTTTGTACAGATAACCAAAGATTTGCACTAAGAGAAGCTCACATTGAGAAATATAATGTTATTGCTACAAATCTGCGACTTTTATACCTCTAATGCTCTAATTCAAATCCCATGCCACATCTTCACTCTTTCCCTTTTATTTTTTGACCTGTGATGAATAATGTATATTGTTAAGTGGCTTCATATTAACAAGTAACACCCAAGCATTGTCTCAAATTTACCTGTTTAAATTTCCAGAAATTTCTCTTCCACTGTTCATTAGGAACAATGCCTTTTGTTCATATCTATGTATAAAATGGAAGCACAATCTTATATAAACTTGATTATGAATGAATATTCTTGACAGCTACAAGCACAGGCATGTCCATACACATGAAAGGGAAAAGTGAATCTTCCAAATGTAAGGGCTTCAAAGTCAGGAAATATTTACGTACATTCAATCTAATTTCAGGCTCTGCTCAGCAAAGCAATAGCATAGGAATGAGTTACCAATCACCTCAGAGTACATTTCATCTGCTGCATTATTACAAGCATGAAGTCTCAAACTTCAGAATTACCTGAGTAGAATCAAGAAGATCCTGATCAATCAACAGTAAAAAATAATAAAATTATACAATCATTACCTCTGATACAAAGATCTTTCTTGGATCTGAAAAAGTTTTGTGAATTAGAGCCAATAGTCAAAATGAAATAAAGAAATTTATCCAAGATTAACAAAAGACTAGTATTGTAGAAATAGAACAGATACACCCAAGGCACCAATACAGCTCTATTCAAAAAATGCAGGGCTCATCAATTTTCTTTGTGGTTTGAAGAAAAGAATAATTGCTTCAATGCAGAGAGCAGCTACCACAAAGTAACAAGTTACTGAGGAGCACTGGCTTCATGGTGACTGCACACACCACAGCTAGCACCACTCAACACCAGGCAGGTCCCCCTTTAATCTAACTCCCTCGTGTTACCCAGTCCATTACAGACACCTAGCTGGGACCTGGGCACAAACAAACTCAGGATTCACCAAATAAAGGACAACAAGACCCAACTAACACTAACGTGTGTCAGGTGTGAAGTGCTTATGACTGCAATATCATAGTCTAAACTTCAGATGTCCCTTGCACATCTACTGCTGCAGCTTCATTCCTTTCATTATACTACAGATTAACACCCCACACAATCCAGTGTCACAGCCTGACTGCTGTGCACCAAAAGCACAAACACAAGTAACACACACAACCAAACCCTTTTTGAAATCTGGAATTAGAAGCTAGGGAAAAAACCTGCAGAGCCATGGCTTTGCCCCTATTCTGGCACAGGTTTTGCAACACAAAAATACAACAGCTTCCAGATAAACTGTGGTGGCAAGGTCCTAACACACGAGTAATGTAACTACTGAGAGGAAATGCAATTCTTCTGATTCAAACTGCTAATTTTATAAGGATACAACATTTGTAAAATGTAGCAAACTACAACAGACTTCTCAATGACTTGTAGCACACAAACCCATTCTATCTTAGAGAGAAAATGTGTTGCAGCAAGCAGTAACATCTCCCAATTGGGCAGTCAAGTAACTGTAAAAAGAAGTAATTTTTAGACTGTAAATGAGAAGTTTTTTATAAAACTTGTATTCTGTTTCAATTACAACTAATATACAAAGACTGCAGAAATCTAGAAATTAGCAAATCATTTGACAGGAAAGAATGTTGAGAATTAAAGTTTAACTAAACATGATAATTTTACAATTACATTTGCCAATACAATTTGTCTAGTATACACTTCAGAATACAAGAAAAGCTTTAAATTTGTAATTTTACCACATTGCTTCAAACAGATGGTGAAAAGTCACCAACCTACCATGAAAACTAAAACATGCAGGTCGAAAGCTATTTTGAAAATAAAACATCCTAAGGTTAAGGTTTTTGAAACTACCCGTGGATTTTCTGAGTTTAGCTTTGAACTGACACTCAAAATACTAATTTACTGCTTCATTATTGAAAAAAAAAACAAACCAACAAACTCCAACTTTATCAGGATTGAAAATATTTATTTCAAAGGCTGAAAATAGCTGTTCCTACCTCCACTTTGGTTCTGTAGAGAATGAGACGCTTTAGGCTGCCCACTTTGGCTATGTGGTTGAAAGCCTGAGGTGGTATTTTATCACATGATGAGAGATTTAATTCCTGAAGATTTGGACACATTTCAGTGATGACCTCCAAGCACGTTTCATTGAGGAAATGGCCACAAGACAACTCAAGACGTACTAGTTCAGAGCCACAGACTTTCAGGAATCTGTAAAAGAAGCCCATGTTTTAAGTGAAAAATTAACATACTTTCAGGTGAGAGTCTGAGTAAGAGCCAAAACCTTAACCATGTAAACTAGGAAATAATTTCTTTCAACAAAGAAAAGATAATAGTCTTGGTAAATCTGTTTTGGTTTAGGAAGTTAGAACATGCTTTGTTATTAATATTAACTCCAAGACAATGGAGCAAAAGAAAAAACTAATCATTTTTGAAATGCTTTAAAACAGCCGAGAGCCAATTTTGACAATGGCCTGCAGGTTTACACCAATAATTTCATATTTATCTCAGAAAAATCTGCAAATATAAAAATGAGGTTAAACAAAACCTTTAAATGGATGATCTATTCAGAATTGTTTTAAGACTTCCAGGAAAAAAAAGTCTCATTCTTTTCATTAACAAGTCAGAATCAACACTTGCTAGCTGTTCTAGAACACAAATTCCTGAGGAATAGTTGACTTTTATTTGAATTATAAAAAAATTAATACATAAGAAAAGACACAAAATGTAGAAACTTTGATGGTCTCTATATTTTGCTATCCTGTCAGAGATCTCACGTCAGAATCTCAAGCTCTTTTATCTCTAATCCAAGCTTTAACCAAGACCACATAAACTTAGTCCCTTTTCATTTCAAAGATAGCCTTCAAACCATAAATTAACCACTAGGCTTGTAAGCTTGATATTTAATTAGATTAAAAAGCCCACACAATTGCCATGCTTATGTTATATTTCGATAGTTCCTCCAGTAGAAAAACTACTGTCTTAAACTATATGTTGTAATGAGTTTCTCATGTTATTTCCTAGAAAAATGGACCTACTTGTGAAAGAGCATGAATTAGTTTCTCTTAATAAATATTCTGATCTGCTCTCTTACCAGTTCTATCCTACAAAAACATTCCCACAGACAAAGCAGCTTCAGGTTCTGACACTTCCACCATGAAGTTAGTATTACCTCTTGGGTTTAACTGATGTAATAAAAATGCCAGCCAGACACAAGGCTCCTGCTTGCACAAACACTCCTATTGCTACAAGGAAAGAGTTAGTAGCCTTCCCAAGCATTTGCTCATGCTGAAGCTCAGTATGAAATTGCTGCTGGTCTTAGAAGAAGACACATTCAGGGAGGCATTCCTCAATGACACCAACAGTAGCCCAAGACTTTAAATCCATCTTTCAAGATCCAAGTTTTCAAGATGCCACCTTTCCTTATTTTTTCATTACTCACTCAAGTAGTAGTTGCTGTTCATTATCACCTTTCTTTATTCCTTTCACCTTGCATATTACATGGTCTTAGTGTGATTATGTAGATCCTATGTAATACAGCGGGAAAAGGAGATTCCAGGGTGGCATCTCCATCCCTGGATGTTTCCAAGAGTCACCTGAAACCTTGACTGACCTGATCTAGCGTTGGGGACACTGGCACTTCAAGTGGGAGCTTGGAGTAGACGACCTTCAGAGGTCCCTAACATCCAACATTTCTATGAGCCTAAGCAAACAGAAACAAAGAGAGGGTCTGAGACACAAAAGGGGAGACATAAGCCCCAGAGCTACAGGAGTTCTGCCATGTATTGCCTTCAAGTCTACCCCTCCACTGTTTTTTTCTAACTTTGCAGTCTCTATTTAGACTCTATTTTAGCTTTTAAAGTCAGAGTTTAATAAAACACCAAGCAGTTTCCATACTGGATACAGTGAATTCACAGAGACTGGTAAGCCTTCCTGTGGGAATGTCAGAGCTGAAATGACATGACAATTCACAACAATTAACATCAGGTATTTAAACATTTAAGTGCTATTTTAGACTAGCAATAGATTTCAACACTATTATGGAGAAATGCAGGATGGAAATCCCCTGGAAATCAGAGTAGATATATGGATACATTGCTGATTACCAATTAGCCAATTCCTCTATTTAATGAGTGCTTTAACAATACATTCACACAGCTTCTTTCATCAACAAATTATCAGGTTTGTTTGAATGATGGTATTTTCCATAAAACTTTGTCAGTCACCACTTATTATACTTCTAGCTTTTAATTTGTTAACAAATAAATATTTTATGAATTACTCCATTACAATAATGGATGTTAGTTTAACTGCCATATAATTTAACAGGGCTTGGCTGTTATAAATGTTAGTAGAGATCAATGCTTTCCTCTTTCTAGGACTATTAAAAGTTAACATTACCATGTCAGGGAAACACTCAGTTAACCCCCCAGACATGGAGAAGAACTCCAGGCTCACCAGCTGGAGGAGTTATTATCCTCATAACATTTTATTTAAACTCATTACACTTGAAACACACAGGCAGAGGCCAAATACAGTGACAGCAACAAGCACTGCCCTTCATGGTTTTGCTGCCTTGTTGGAAAAGGTTATTTAGGAGACATGAAATAGAAACAAAATGGGGATAAGATCAATGCAGCAGCAGGGTACAAGAATGAGTGCACATGCATGTAGGAAACAGAGGAACAGGAGGAGGAATCTGAGCAAGTCAACAAGCAGCACAGGGCAGAGAACACTGGGCAGAAGGGCACAGCTCTATGGGGCCACCTGATCTTTGTATTCAACAGACTGCTCAGGATAGAGGTTTTTGCTGCTGTCTTTCCACATGGATCTCCATGCAGAGCCATATGGCAAGGTAGGATATGGGTTCTCATGCTTTCAAAACAAATGTGGCATGGTCTTTGTACTTCTGAGACTTAACAGTCTCAGAGTGACCGGCTTGATTTAGCTAATCTGAAAACAAACAACACCCAAAAAAGCACCGTCTACTCAAATCAAAATTTCTTCACATTTCTTCACATACCTCTCCTTTAATCACTATGGATTGACTGGTTCCTGTTCCCAGTCTCTCCTCTATTCTGCAGTCATCCATCCCTTTAGTTTTGTTTTTATTATCAATATTTTATACACACTATTTCTGAAGTGATTTCTCTTCATCCCTTCATGTTTGCTATAAAATATGACTGAACAACCGAGGATAATGTGAACATGCACATTTCTTCTGCTAGACAGTACATTGGGCCTTTCCCTTGAAGCATTTCAGGCCTTCTAGTTGTTCAGTTTTGTTTCTGATTTTTAGAGGGGGGAGGGGGCCCTGTTTTGTTGGTTTTGGATTTTTTTTCCAGGGGGGAGGGGGTTGTTGTTTTTCATAAAAAAAAGGAATCCCACTTTCCATCACCTTCTACCTACTCTGACGAACTGCTACTTATTTTCAACCCCTCAAGCTTTTTGGAAGTTCTAGTAAAGTTTTCCTGACACATCAAATATATCTATTAGCAGGCAGGATAATATTTGCTCATGGGTCACTTAGCCCACTAACAATTTCCAATCTTGTAATTCATGTGTACATCATAAGCATATCTCATGATCCAAAACTAAAATCCAAGGAACAAGAGATAGTACTTTTCATGTCAGAATGTAAGACTTCCCAAACAAAATTCCCAAAATACCTTTAGACACTGAACATAACACATTTCCTCCAATGCTTTCTGGTGGATCTAGAACCTGTAATTCACTCTTAGCTTAATGATCCTCACTCTCTATGTCCCAGTTCAAAATTACTGAAAACTCTACAAGAAGCAGGGATCACAGTCCTGTTCTCTTTCCTCTACTCATCCTCCCTAAATGCAATTAGTTACATAGTTTCATATTCCTTTAGTGCAATTAACATAACAGTTTTCTATTATGCTGATTTTACAAAATCTTTTTCAATTAAAATCTTCACTACTGATTTTATACTCATTGACATATATTTGAATTTGATATCCAAGAAAGAGAGTGGAAAAGGGAACCAATTTCCATTCGTGAACAACACAGTGTTGGACAGACTTTTTTTCTCTAGCACTTTCCCTTATAATGTTACCTTACATTAGCATCCAGGTTACCTCTGTTACTTGACAGATACAATATTGCCCCATTTGCCAGGCCTTCCCTGGTATAAGCCTCCTCCAATCACTATTTCATAAAACAACCATTTATGTCTGCTTCAAGCCAACTACGTGCTCCCTCCAGCTACTCAGGTCTCCTGTTTCCAGAGCCTGCCACCAGACAAGCAAAATGTCAAAACCCACATGGATTTTACTCTTCCTCATTTCACTTCCAAGATCTTGAGATCCCCTCTTTCTTACTTAGCTCCATCTATATGATTACTTGCACAAGTCCTCCTCACAGAGGACTCTCTGCCTTACAATTACAGCCATGCATTTAATGAAATGGTTTGTGGAATTCAATTTTAATATCCTCCTTAAAGACCTGTTCATATATTTTTAAATTCACAGTGATGCTTTTCCTTTCAAAACTGCCACGTTACACAACAGCAGCAGCATTTAGCACAGGTTAATTGTAACAGAAGTGTTAAGGTTGGTATGAGTGGAAAACAACTGGGTACACAGAGGTGTAGGAGAAGGAAAAAGAACAAATGGCATCACAAGGGCTGGAACAGAGGTGTGTTGGTGGAAGTCAGACTAGCAGGTCACTGACATCCTTGAACACTTGTGCAGGCAATTTCGCAGGGCACACAGATGAGGAGATGAAGGACAGGAGCAGCACAGGATGGTGAGACCACATGCCAGACAAATTGATTTGGACACATATCTCGGTTCTCTTGGCACACGCAAGTATTCATGCTTAAGAGTGAGACTTTTAAAACCAAAATTCGGTTTTAAAAATAAGCCACTTTCCCTCCCTCTAGCTATTCTAATTAGTACAATGTTATTTTCTACTCTAGCGTGTATTACACTTCATTTTTTGTAAGTAAATCCTAAAACATGGCATGTAGTAAGTAGAATATCAAGTACCTGATCTTGCGCTTTTCTCAGCACAGATTAAACTATATAAAGAAAAACATGCAAAACAAATGTTGTAACTTACTCTCGGCCAAACCTAGTTTTACTGAAAACCTCTGGAAATTAAAGCAAGCGACAGACCTGACTGTTAAATTGAGAATCTCTGTAAAGTCACACATTACTCCCATTTTCCATGACTGTTTGGTACATATTTCAGTAATTTCTCTGACCCTTCTGCTAGTTTGACTTCTAGCAAAGCCTCACCAAATTAAATATTGTCAAAACACACTTCTATTAAAGGCAATGAAAGCCTTCAAACATGAACAACAAAACTGCTAAAGAAATATTCCTGGATGTGCTTGCCATGCAAATACCGCATCACTAACCTCAAAATAAAACGCTATTAATTCATTTTCACAGTGTAAAATGTCAGATGTAAATAAAAATCCTAATTCCTCAGATATTTAAAGCAAAAGAGTTTAAACAAGTTAACGACATGATCGGTGATCCAAGGAAATCTGCATGCAGACTCCATTTTCAAACTGTCATTGTCCTTGAGCTGTTTAAACCTCAGAGCATTTACTCAGCATCTCAATATTTACTACTCCTCCAATCAACTCCCCTCACTCTTCCTATATAGGTCCTACCCTCCCACACTGATATTTCCCCCGGCATGAAAAGATTCACCAGACCTCTTAAGCCAAGAAAAATGCAGAGCTGCTTATGTAATGCTTGCCATGAAATCTTTGCTTATTCCCTGTCATTTTGCATTTCAGTCTCCTGAGACTGCTCAGATACTCCTTTCACTTTTTTGTACACTTTTAGTTCAATCTAATATAAAGTTTAGTTAATTTATATTATATGCTGAAATGAAAAATTTATGATAGTAATTTTTAGCCCCAAGGAGTAGATGTTATCAATAAGTTAAAATACCTTCAGCTTTGCCTCAGGATGTTCATATGCCTGAAGCATTCTGTCTTCTCATGATAATACAGTATTTGCTCCAGTCACATTTCCTAAAATTACTTTTAACTCCTTTTCACTCTAATACATTTTTGAAGAAAATATGTATTTCAAATAATTCCTTAGTATTTTCAATAATTTCATGCATATATGAACATTTTAAAATTACAAATTTATACAAGCTACTACTTTTATGACTGTCATAAGAAACAACAGATAAAAACATTTTTGAAACATATTTTCCAAAATAAGACTTAAGCAAGACTAATATTTAAACATACCCTGACTTGCTGAAATCCTACTTAAACTGTACAACTGTAAGAAGTAAACCAACTCTATCAGAGTTGGCTTAATTCTTACAGAGTTTTGAATTCAACTCTGCCAACTAGCTCCAAATGCTGAGAAAAATACAAAAATATATGTGTCCTGGTTTTGGACAAAAGGAAAAACGGTGAAAAGCAAGTCTTGTTCTAATGACTCTCTATTAGTAGATACTTTCATAGCAAATGAGCAACAAATTTCCCTGTACCGGAGGCCAGCAAATTTGACAAACACGCTGACGAAGACTGTCAAAAGAAAAATTGTATTGCAGATTTTACTAGAAAAGACTTTTACAGAAGAAAGGGTTGCAAAATAATTTCTGTAACAGAAAAAAGTTTAAAACCAGACCTAGTTACAGGTCAGTGGAGAATTTTTGTTTCACAGGGGAAAATGATAAGCACAGTTTAGACATGCAAATTATTTAGCTTATAACTTTGCTTCTAAAATTTACAATTGAACTGCATCTCCCATTCCCAGCCTGCATCCATCTTTTCCAAGAAACACTTTTTCCTAAAACTAAGATAATTTCAGAATTGCAACAATGTCAAAACTTTTTTCCCATTTGTTACAAATAAATACAATCCCTTATAAGAAATAGAAACAGAAAACATTTACTCACAGATTAATTCATAAATAATGAATATTTATTATTTAAAAGCACTGTATACACATACATGTTACTAGTAGTTCAGCACTGAAGAAAAAAAAATTGGTAACAATAAAGTAATTTTCAACTAAGTAGAAGTAAGAAATGCCAGAACTGTTAAGTTTGTAAGTCTCTGAATCTGGCAATAATTTCTTCCAAGACTACAAAGACTTTTTACAGTACTGTATACTAAAAAGAAAAAAAAAAGGAAATGAAAAAAAGTTGCCACAAAAATTCACATATGTTAAGTTTTAAAAAGACAGACTTAATAGCTAAGCATCAGAAAGCAGGCACTTCATGATTTCAGAGGAGAAGCCTCAACTAAAGCTTGCGTATTTATCCTCCACATAAAGTATCTAACACAAAATCCAATTTTGGAGAAATTTTTGTAACCAATTCAACAACTAGCCGATGTCTATTTTTTTTCCCCTACCAATAAGCAGAAAAAAGGTCATAGTATTCTTGCATTATAGTGGAGGATCTGGAAAAACAGAAGAGACATTGCCATCTTGATTAAATATTTCCTCAAAATATTTTATTTCCTCAGGTAAGGAACTTAGGAACAAAAACAGAAGAGACATTGCCATCTTGATTAAATATTTCCTCAGGTAAGGAACTTAGGAACGAAAGGAAAGAAAAAGTCTGCATACTTGAGTTAACCTTTTTATTCAGAAAACAAATGAGAGTTAAGACAACTTTTTCAGATATATTTAACATTTCTGTTTCTTATCAGTCAATTTCTGCTTTCACCTGCCATTGCTGATTACCCCTTAGTTGAAGCAACAACTTTTGCTTAAATGAAATGCATTGATAGAAGCTGTTTAACTAATGCAAATGAGCAAAGAAGCAAGAAATGATATCTTAACAAAGCAGAGAACATGGCTGTTATACAGAGAAGAATCCCTGCAAATTTGCTATTTTAATGACCTACACCACAGTCATATTTTCAGCTCATTGGAATACGCACATGCAACCCCCCTGTTTTCCAACAGGGCTAATGTTTTAAATCATTTTTATGAAAATATTTGCATTTACATTGGACTCCAGTGATTACTTGGCTCATACCATGTGAGCATGCAATCAGTTTATTACTGCAGCCATTCGAATACCGTCCTATTGATGACTCATCTGTACAAAGAACAACCACAAACATTTTCTTTCTGAGATGGATTTTTGATAGCTCAGTTCTAGCAAAGTGTTTTAGAAGCTCAGAAGAAAGCAAAACACTGCTCCCCCTGGAAGAAGCCTTTCAGTCAAGCAGCTTGGAACATGCAGACTCTACAGACTGCTATGGACTTCTGCTGCTATATTTAGTATCTCCTACTGTTTTAGCTGTTCCTTTTTTCTACATCATAACAATCACACCCTTTATAGAAAATCCAAGACATTTTTTGCCTTTTAATAAAGTTGAAATACTTAGTGAAACTACCGTGCAGCACCTCTGCAAACAGTGCTTGTCAAAACATTTCTGTAAATTTAACACTGACCTGCTAAATCCAGAAACAGAGATGGCTCCCCTGTTTCCAGTCCAAGATAAATTCAGCCACTGGATGAGCGTGCAGCGAGACTGTAGGTACTCCAGGGATGTGTCATTAATCCTTGCCCAGTAAGGTTGTAAACTGAGATGAATGTACTGTAGAGGGTCACAGCAATGTTGATACAGTAGCTTACAAGTTTGTGCTAGTCTACACAGGTCTGGTACTGTAAGGTGACTCAAAATCAACTGGATGAGCTATATTAAAAACAGGAAAAAAAAGTTACAGATGGTCATACAGCACTTAAAACATTAAGGGAAAACTGCAAAGGAATAAGAAAATGTGTTCTAACTTCAAGGAAAGTAAAACCTTTTACTTAAAAATAACTTGTCAAATAAATTGATTAACTATTAAATAGAACTGCACTGCCTTCTCAGTTTGACAACATGCTAAACAAGAAAAGAAAAAGCAGATCAGCATATGAAAGTGGCAGGAAGCTTTCAAATCAGAAGTTTCTTTACCCATGCTAATTTAAACAGTGATATATATGTAAGCACTATGTTTATATATTTCCTTTCACTAAGTCTGCTCTTTCATTGAACAGAAGACAGAACTGGCATCCCCCTTTTTCTCTGTATTTGGTTTTTAAGATGGGAGATATTTGCAAAGTACATGGAAAAACTATACCATGTCCCAGTTTCCCCACACCCTAAACCGATTTCAGATTTATTCCTCTTCTTCCTGCTTTAAAAAACAGTGTTTTGTCTTCTATCTTATATCCTCTCCTTTGGACTATGCAGCCGGGTAAAAAATTCAACATAATCAGATCTCCTTTTACAATCGCTTCCTTGCTGTAATACTTTGAGAGCATTTTTGTTCTACACCAGAGTCAAACCTGAAAGGCAAAACCCCTTTTTAACTGTGTCAGTTGAATCATCTCAGCTTCAGAATAATCACCAGCCTTTCTGACTAGCATCACTGTAACAGTTTTTGTAATAACTTATGTCACACCCAGAAACTAAGAAATATTCCTCCTCTCCTCTCACACTATGTTTTCCTTTCCAAGGAATGATCAACACGCACGCAGACATAAATACTCTCTTTAGGAAATAAAAACGCCCAACAAAATAAAGAGATCTCCTTTATCTTATGAACTGAGAGAAAATGCACTTGAAAAATGAAATCTAAAAATTAATGTTTACTTTACCAGAGCTGTCTAGCAGATGTAAGTACCTGCACTCAAGTTATATAACTTAAATTGACTGTTTTCAAGCAGAGTGGGAAACAGTAACTCATTGAAATGAATCAGTGTAAATTACAAAAACTACAACTCACAAATCAACTCCAACAGAAGAGAATTCTGTGGTCCTTTCAAAATACCAACATGTTTCATTTTAATGTCTTAGAAGGATTCAGAAGACAAATCCACCAAAAATCAGAATAAAATCTGTGACGTAAAATGAAAATGTTTGGCTCTCACAAAAAGCTCCAGATTGTACTTCCTTAGCATCACTTTATTATGCAGCTACTTTCCACCTCCCCTCCTTCCCCCTTCATTTTTGGAAAAACAAAACAATTCAACTTCCTGCAAAATGGAAAATGTTACTTCCTACTCAGCTCCAGATTTAGTACTTAGATTTCCAACAAGATCTACGTATCTTAAAACATTTTAGTTTAACTCCAATGCAAAAATACAGTGTTTGATATACTCCAGTTTCTTTCATACTTGGTTTCAAGCCTTTCATCTTCTCTTCTTGCTTGTCCTTTCCCCTAGAAACAGCCCAGGCTTTTGGCTCTGCAGGTGTCTGGAACTCAGATTGATGCAGAGGACCAGCAAAGACTTCTCAATGTAACAGCATCTATATATATATACACACACATATGTGCATATATATAAAATGTATATATGCACATATAATAACTGCAGTTATATTATAATCAGCAAAGTTTGCGCCCAAATGACATTTAGGAACCTGTTGACATTTTGAAACCTAATATATCGAAAATAACTAGGAGCTAAAGACATAATGACACGTTAATATCTTGATTTTTGCAAACTTTCAGCTAACCCACACTATGTAAGTCAGCTAAATATCTATTTTATTAATGCCGTTTCCCTCAGATTTTTCTCCCATAATTTCTAGAGCTGAAAAGTCAGCAGAGGCTGTAAAATTAGCAGAATTTATGTCAATAATTAATGTGACATAATATTTGATAAATCAAACCAATAAAAATTTCATTCACTGAGAAAAAAGTTATTTTGTAACTTCTGAGCAACACAGAGAATGGTGAATGAAACTATAAATGACTGAACAATGTCGATTTACACTACTGATGACTTCAATGAGTATTTTGCAACACAGAGGATGTCTTTCCACACCTGAGATGAAACTGCCCACATCTCAATCAAAAAAATCTCTTTATTTTTTACTGAAATTGTGCTACTTCATAATATGTAGAATGAAAACATATAATGAAATGTCACTCCTATGATATTATATCAAAATGCTTTTTCCTGGCTTTTGATTAAACAAAAATAACAGATTCAAAACATACAGGCTAATAACCATTAATCACCATTAGCCTGGAGTCTCGTGTCTGTCAGGAACACACTTTTTGTGTCTGTGTACCCTAGCATAAAGTACAATTTGATATCATAATGAGTATGTGACATGATGTGCTGTACTGTGCTACGCTGTGTTCGCGGTGATTCCAAGAATGCTACAGAAATGAGATCTGCTTGGAAAGCTAATTTCATAATGCAGTTTCTCACAAACAACAGTTTTTACTGTGTTTTTATGAAAAATTATGACAATCATTATTTCACACTTTCTTATAAATCAATCAGTAAAAACAAAGTTGATTGGAAAAACATGGAAAGAAAACAAAATATAATTTATACAACACTGATTGCCTTTTTAGGCTTTGATGGACTAAGATTACAAGAGTACTTCCTCTCCCATTTCCAGGGAAAACATGGCACATGCCAGCTTTAAGCCAGGCACATTTTTTGAACTACCAAATAAAACATATAACATCTTAAAAAAAAATAAAAAGCTTCTCACCCACTACAAAGTTTGCCTATAAGCTCACACAGAATTTCCACTCCCCAGTACAGGGGGCAAAACTTTACCAATGGTGTAGCTTCTAATAATACTTAGTGAACCAGAAGTTTCTCTGGCTTTTTAAGGTTTTCTTGTTAAAAAACAGCAAGCAACAACCATTTGCACTTATAAAATACTTTCTGTGGCTAGAGCACAATAACGCATAACTTGGTTTTGTCACAAAATAATGTTTGTATGCTGGTCAAACCTACAATACTCGTATTTTCTACAAATTTCCTTTTTCAGTTCTTCCACATGAAAATGAAATGGTTTTCCAATAAAAAAATACACTGGCCTGTGCAAACCACTCATTCAGAAACAGACAAATGAATAACTTGCAATTTTTTGATTCTTGCAGCTAGAGCTGCTACAGCTTAAAATCCATTTAACTAGAACTGATATTAAAACATGCTCAGGTAAAGGACAAAGGACATGTGCACAAAGAGACGAAGAGAGAAGACAAAAAGAAGATGGTATTCTAGGGCTTTTGACATTTCACGGCACACTTTAAGGAAACACACATCCCTGGTTCCACAACAGTACAACTTGCACCAGCAAACACAAACATATTTAATAATGTATGTGGACACCAGCAGACACAAACAGCTCGTAAAGCTTGTAGGCAGCTTTTGGAAAAATCAGATTTAAGGAATGACAAAGATGTCATTTACATCTTTCTATACCAACATTTTTACAAAAAATATGTTTTGGACTGGAGCACGCAGATTCTTCTGATTCTCCTCTCTGGAGAAGCTGGGTTTTTAGTAGCCAGCACATCTTGGTGAGTCTCAAATTGTACTACATGGGTGCTGTGGAAGGTATTCCTCAGCTTTCCCAAAAGCTTTGACTTTGGTCAAGTCTTCAGGCCTCAAGTATTCCTGTAAAGCCAACGAAGACTAAGGCCTTACTCCTTCCACTTTACAAGCAGCACAAGATTGTCAATGAACAATTGACAAGGAAGACAAGGACACAAAGTCTCTCCTCTAAAATCCTTCCTCAGTTTTAAGGTAGTTTTGGAGAAGAGATCATAGATATTAGCTGTGAAGTACTTGCACTAAGTGCTGGTTAATGCCATCCAAGGTTAGGGAAGGAAAATTCTCTCACTAAGATCATTCAAAAATTTACAGTTTCTTCTAAGAAAGACTGTGCCCCGGGAAGCAGAGCATTTTTCTCTTTTTTAGACAGGAGCAATCCTAAAATGTCTTTGGAGTTCACACTGCAGCAAACCATTCCTTAATGTCATTTTGAGGAACAACATATCTACAAAAGGATAGTCTATGGAAGTTTCAGAAATTCTACAAAGGCAAAAAAAAAAACCAAAAACAAAAAACGCTGGAAGAGCTGCTGCCTACTTAGCAAAACCCACTCAGCTTGTATATTTTGTGAATTACAGAGGATAGCATGAAAAAGCTTCAAACAGCTCAAATATGGAACGGCATGTTTATGAAAACTTAGGACAGTTACACACTGACAATCAATATAAACCTACAGAAAAGGTCCAATTTTTCATGTAATGCACCAGTCAAAACCGGAAGGAGTCAGCAAATGCCTTACTTCACCCACAGTTTGAACACTTCCCCTAAAAAGCTGACATTTGTCAGTCTTAAATAGAACATGCAGAGAACTACTTCCATATCCAATGTAATAGAAAACTGTTATGCCACCAAGTACATTTTTGTTGTTCCGATGCCCGACCCTTCCAGCTGGACTAGAAAGTAGGAAACTGGGATTTCTGCTATCACAAAACCAGTACAGAAATAGTTTTTTATAGTTTTCTGACAAATATTCCACCCATATTTTCAGTTTCTTTAAACCAAGGCAGAAGAAAAAAAGATGTTCTTGGTATTGACAGACCATATAAATTTATTCATGAAACCAAACATCTTAAAAAATGGATAAAAAAGGAAGCTGGTAGACAAAAAGGAGAGCAGAAAAACAAAATAAAGTACATGGAGACAGAAGTTCATAGGAGTAACAAGACTACACAAATACTTTCCAAATTAAAATTTTAATATGTGTAATCAACCATTTACGGTTTGATTCAATGATCTTGGAGATCTTTTGCAACCTTCATAATTCTATGATCATGTGAGTAAGAAATGAGATTGATTAATCTCTCTGATATTCTAGCATATTACAAATCAATTTATCCAGCCTTTTCAAACAAGAAAAAATCCTATATTTAAATGAATTTTTATCTACAATTAATTTCCTTGAATTACTAAAAGTAACATGTTTTCAAACTTTCAAACATTTATGCGAAGTACTTTCTTTACTTCAGTACTGCCATGCAAGCATCAACAGTAGAATATATTTAACACCAAGTGTACTCTGGGGAAAACAAACAAACAACCACTAGAGCTAACTCATGATAAAATTAGTTTCCTTATTTATTATTCCACTGCATCAACAACAAAAAGAACCTCAAACCAAACTCAAGAGGTTTGGTTTCAAGAAAAGTTTAAGAGAAGACAGTAAGAACTGTTACATTCTCCTTTCTCTTTCCTCTTTACAAGCACAGTAAACTTCTGCAGGCTACTACAGCACGTGGTCACCCAACCAGAGCCTTCTTGTATCAAACTGAGGTACTTAAGAGTCAAAAGATGTGGCAAGACCGAAATACTGTTTGATTAGATCAGGCATTTCTGCAAGCACCCTTCAATGCCAGGCAGCACACCTCACCTTCCCTCTCAAAAGCAAGTCTGGTTCAAGCCACGAGCACTCTGAGCATCTGCTGAGTTACACTGAATGAACACTTGCTGCCTCTGCCAGACTGCAGCACACTGAAGAGCAGGAATCTTATCTCTGTCCAAGTCTAAAGGTCTGACCAGCAAGTAAAGGCTCCTTCTCATGGCCAACAGATTATTTCAGGAGAGGTGAAGATAATTGTTTTATCTCTCAATTCTTATCCAATCACGGCACCAGCCTTCATAAACAGCTGGACCCCACTGAGAATTGCCCGGCCTGCACATGGTATTCAACAATCATACTCCACAGTTTCATTATACTGGAAATTAAGGAAAGAAAATACTCATCTACACATTCTCAGCACATTTGCAGCCATTGTGCTGCCAGGGGAGCTGAAAGGAGTTTATTCACAACTGTTTTCTGAGCTAATGACAGAATAAAAGTAGCAAGCATAAAAAGAAGACAGTGTGCAGAAGTCCAGCAGTAACATATTTTACCTGCACCACAATTCAAAACTTAGCTGGATGGAAAAAGCTCATTTAATAATAATATAAAAATATTATGGCACTTTCAAGAACAAAGCTCTGTGAGTTTTGTAAGAGAGAAAACAGGAAAACAAACTTTTAGACTACTGCAAACTCTTTCCACTTCCAGATGTTGACTGAATCTTTTCATATCTCTTCTGTGTATTTTCCTTTTCAAGTATAAGGACTAAAAACCTACCGGAAACCTGCTAAAAAGCTTACAAGTTCAAGAGCTGGAAATTCAAGGCTAGAGTATCTGGTGTAATAACTGTGTGTGAATGCAAAGACCCTTGAAAAGTAAGAGTGCAGTAACTATGCAAATAGCTAACATCCACCCATGGAAGCAGACAAACTTACAGAATTCAGGCACACCTATACAGTAAGTGCAGGAGAGTCACAAGGAATGCAAGGAACTGAGAAAAAACAACAATCCTGACCAATACTCTGGAAAGCACCTTTGCACCCTTAACAATCATGACAATGAGTGTAAACATGCTTTTCTTTCTTACCTCATAAGGCAGTTTATCAAAATATCCATTAGTTGGCCATTCCCTGAGGGTAACAATGCTGAACTGTTTATTAAGGGCATCCATTCCACAGGCAAATTTTTCTTCATCCTCATCTTCATCTATATCATTCATATCAATCATTGAAGTCTTAAGTGAAAGCACAGGCCTCTCTTTCACACCATGTAGTACTACTGCATCCAATTCAGTGTAATAGTCCAGAAGAGAGCTGTTCACTTCCAGTCGGATCAAGTTTGTGGGAAAGTTTATCTGTTTGATACAAGGTGTGAACTGTCGAGCCTGAGGACCATTCACCTTTGTAGGTGCCTCAGACCAAAGTATTTCCCATCTGTGAAAAAAAAAAAGATGATACACATACAGTACAGGAATTAAAATCAAAGTTACTAAAGCAATTCCTGAGCACAGTAAGAGGGCAACATCATCTGTCAGAAGTAGTTAACAAGCAAGAAAAATGGAAAATGGCTGAAAAGATGATTTATGGTAATGTTTTCCCTAGATTTGATAAATATCCTATGGATGAATTTAACTCCTGTTAAACTCACACTAATTCATGACCTTAACATATTTTCTCTACTGAATAACAAAACAAGCTGTAGACTCATAGTCACTTGTGTTAGTGCTATCTGTGCCCAAGTTCTTCTAGCAACTCACAGGTAAGGTAATTGAAACAAATGGATTGCTGATGTCTTCACCATGATGGCATGTTAGTGTAAGTACACAAGGAACAGTTCTGCCACGTAATACAAAGAGAGTCATCTGATCTCTTACTTCCCACAAAACAAAAGAAAAAACCCCCACCATTCAGACTTTAATATCAAGCCTGTCCATGTTACAGTATTACAAATTACTAAAAAATAATTGAATTTTACTTTGTTTATCTGCCTAGGCAAGCAAAATGTTCCTTTTAGAAGTAATTCAGTGACACATTAGAGAAGAAAGTAGAAACTTCAAGTCATTTTGAAAGGGTCCTTTGCAAAAGACATCAGAATTTCCAAACTGCTGAACTGAAGTGAAAAGCCTTTCTCCTTGTTGGTCCTGTGACAGACAGAAGTTCAAGGCATGCACAGAACTACCACACATACATCCTTACTTTCACACACAGACCCCAGATCTCCTCCACCAAATGACAGGGAAATCTGCTGCCAACTGAGTAAACTGGAGGAACCAAGTCCTACATTCCTTAGAACTTCCTTAGCACTCCCAAACTTGCCTACAGGTCTGAAAACAGAAACGCGCTCTTTTATATCTGCATAGGTCCTCACTTAGTCACTGGAGATCCTTCAGCCACTTATGTCCATGTTTTTCCTCCCTGAAGTCCAGTTAATTCATAAAGAAGAAGCCTCCAGCAGCTACTACTGCTACTCCCTTTGACAATATGCTTACCTCGATACTTATCCAGACACTTCCACATGCCATCTATTTCTGATCAGCCTAGCCCAGATTCAAGGATTTCTCTCAGACTTCTTGTCCTGAATCTCAGAAGCACCACTACCAGAATCTGCTCACCAGTACCTCAGCGCCTTGGCTTTCCCTACCAGACACCCACTACTTTGAACTTACAACAGAAACAAATGCTTTAACTTTTTCCATCATAACAGAAAGCGAAACAAGTGCAGGGATTTTCATTAAAACACTGCACACAGCATAAGTAAGGTTTATAGAAGTTTGATATTGCCTAGTAGGAAAATCAAGAAAAATAATCCATATTGGCCATAACTTCCATTTTGCAACGAACATTTTTCTATCCTACATCATGCTGCTCTCCAAGTACCTGATAGCAGAATGGGAGACTTGCAGAACTCTTATGTCCAAAGGAAAAAAAAACAACCCAAAAACATCATGAACTAAAAACAAACATTCAAGAGTAGTGACCATATGGCACATTGAAGTACTAACATAGGAGAGTGGACAGCTCTACCCTAAAATTAACAGTTTTCATAAGAGAGACATAGTATTAAGAAAAGATTTCATTAATTTGCAAAATGAATATCTACTCATGGCAAAGTAACAGCTCTAGTTCCACTGTCACATCCTCTCACATAGGTCAATGCTCTAAGCAAATACTTCGTGCTGGCAAGGCACATGACCTTCCTTGAACACATCCAGATCACCATCTGACATTTTGCTTAGACACTTCCATGTACCCACTCAAAGTATCCTTAGGGAAACTCAAAGGCTATTTTTTCACTTATCTAACACACACTGGACCATCAACTTTTAGCAGAATGGGTCTGTTATTGACTTTGCCTTTTGGACCCTGGAGAGAGGATTATCCAGCAGCAGAAGAGCTCTGGAAAAAAATAATGTATCTCATCAGATTGTAATGCAATAACCAGCTCCAGCAGGCAGTAGCCAGTTTCCAGTCTTTGGAATAAACTAGAGAAAATGGAAGACTTGTAGCATGATTTCACAATCTTGTGAAGCTCCACATTGCATACCAAATGCTGATAAACAATAAAACCAGCGACAAATTTCCACTGTTCTTGTCATACTGTTTACTTCTCATCAACAGTCCACCAATGTAACTTTGAAGGAGTTAGCTCTTGGTTTATCTGGAAAAACACAAACCTATCAGATTGATTTGATGATGTTCTCTGCCTTGGTGGCACCACAAACAAGAGCAGGCAAAAGAAATTGCTCTGAGTCAGGACTGGCAAATCCTTCCCACATTCTTACCCCATTAATACAAGTGGGAGTGATCTCTTCTTCCAGGATCACCCCTGTGACACTTAAAGAGGCTGCAGGTAATCGGAATGGGAGTGAAAAATTCACATCGGGATCAAAAAAGTCTAAATTTCCAAGAAGCTTCAGAAAGAATTTTATTATCCTGTTCTGGAACATTCTTTTGTAATGGTAATCTACCTGAAAATCTTTCATAATAAAGGCATTTTTACAGTCAGTCCTGGTTTGAGGACATGTATCAAAACCAGTTTCCCTAGGAAGGCTCTCTGCATCTGTTTCAAGCTTACAATGTTCAATACGCTATTTAACCCAAAACAAAGAGAAACTGAATCCCAATAAATACCTTTAAAGAAGTCAAAGGATTTCTGCCTGCCCCACACCCCAAGTTAATTAAGTAGCTCTCAAAAAATCAAGTAGAATCAAATGAATTCGGATAGTACATTGTTTGTCCTCCAGTCCTGCAGATACATAGTAACAGCTGATCAAAGTCGTCACACTGAGAATGCTTTGATAAGAAGGTTTCATCAGCTATGTGCTAGAAAGCCTCAATCCTTCCAGCAAGGAGTGCCAGGTAAAGCCTGAATAAAAGTCAGCAACACCTGTATTATTTTCTCTAGTAATTGAAGAAAAGGAGAACATTAAGTAAGTTTCTCCATTCAGCCATTCTGTCATCGACTCAGTTTTCCCATTAAATTTCTCTCTGTCCCATGAAGACAGACAAGAACTCAATTTTCTGATACTAAAGACTCCATACACCTATGTGGTAAAAAAAAATAATTCCCATCCCTCTTCCCCACCATGAAGAAAAATACAGTCTCGTAATTGCTAGGCTGAGAATCATACTTGGAAGGTCTGTGTCAAATGATAGCACATATTTAAAGCTTGCCTAATTTTTTGTTGACCTAATGTTGTTGGAAAGGTTTTTAATGCTTAAGATGATTCCTGAGCAGACCTGGTTACTTCTGAAGAAATACATGTAATAAGAGAGAGTCTTTGAAAAAGGGGCTTCTAGGGAAAGCAATCAGATTTCTCTCCAGCAATACGAGATTAAACTTTGCTTGCAACTGCTGAGGTTTCTTGTATTGTCAAATCAAGATAGGTGTAGAAAGTAAAAAAAGCACTACAAGCAATCCAATAAATGCCTTGCCTCAAGAAACTAATAGCTGAGTTAAAAGCCAATAGAAGGGAGAGTTCCAGACAGACCGACAAGGAGAACATAAAGAATCTCAGAGAATATTTCACCTTTGATGAAAATGCAACTTGTGCAACAATTACGATCACATGCTGCTCTTAGCCAAGCAACTGCACAGCAGAAATCTGTAGATCACCTAGGAGAAAACATGCCAGGGATGCTTCAGCACACTAGTTCAAACCAACCTGGAAAGTGTACCTCTAACCTCAGCTGTGAGCTCATAAACACAAAAGGCAGGGAAGACTGGGAAGATCATGAGCACAATTTAAGCATCATTCTTCCGATTAAGCTGATAAGCAGAGTTCAAAGCAGTCTAATTATTATGACAAAATATGAAGCAAATTTTCATTTCCACCAAGAGTTCAATTCTGAAATACCAGAGACAGAAGACAGGATTCCAAGAATGCTCAGGACATATAAAACAGCAAAAGGTACTTCAAGTAACTTCTCTGTCTACATGAGCTTTTTAGGAGCTTCTCAAAAATGACTGTATTCCACAAACCCAGAATTCATTTTTCTATGACAGGCATTGAAACAAGAAAAAGCTGTTCGCCTGAAGATGTCAAAACAAGTTTTAAGTAAGGATGCAAATGTCTAGAACTTGTGTGCTACACATAGGTGAGATACAGGCCCGAAGCTTCCTTATCACACTCTAATGTGTTGATGGTATCAGCAGTGTTTTGGGTGTTTTCATCTGAGATTCTCAAGGAATAAAAGGTAGAGTGAAAGAACCATCTGAATGCCACTCTCTGCAAGTAAGAACTCATGATATTTACATTCAGTACACTGCCTTTCTAGGTTCACTCCCTTTCTTAAGGGGCAGGGAGGGGGAGAGAGAGGTTCCGTAAAACATTTTGATCCCTGTCCAGGCTGCTTAAATACACTAAATTTCCCATTGGAATGAGAGGGAGCCTTTTATTTTGTCCATCTTCATTAACCTGCTCCTCTGGTTTGCAGCAGCTTCTGTCCCTACAGGCTTTAAGACTATCAAAAACAGAAAGAAACTTTGCATACAGCAAACACAGTTAAGCCTGGAAATACGGAGCCATGCTCAATTTTCTAGCAAAATTCTAAACGACATGAAATTAAATAAAAATAAACAACAGGAATATACAAAGCAGAGTGGAAGTGGTCCCAGACAAATGATCACGGTATCTCATCCATAAGAAAAAACCTAATAAGTGTCACACCTTATCTGTAGGAAACAAGAAAAAATTAATCACAAAATAATCTCTAATTATTGAAGAAGCAATCACTGCATTGCAGGAAGGACATATGCTATGAAATATCCCAAGTACAGCCACAGATTCCAGACCTGTTAGGAATCTCTGATTTTGAGCTTTTATAAAAGTACATGAATATACAGTATCACTACAACACACATATGACATAAAAACAACAGTCAAATCAAATTTTAAAAGAACACAACAGGAGAATAGGGACCGATTTTTGGTTTCATATTACAAACTTAAAAGCCTAAGTTATTTTTGTAAAAGGAAAAAGTTCCGAAACAATTATTTTTCACTTTCCCATTTAAAAGACTAACAACAAGTAACTATTAAGAATATCAAAATGTATCAAAAGGGCTAATACTGAAGAAGCCACTAGGGAATCATCTAGAGTAAGCCTTCTGGGTAAAAAAGGAGGGGAAAACCCCCATTTTTCTCATCACAGAGGCTAGCTACAACTTAGTCATCAACCCAATACACTATGAAAAACAAAAACTCTCTTGGTTGGGTTCAGCTCATGCTGCATTTGTCCCCACCACATGTGTGTAGAGCTCTGCTTCTTCCACTGGCTGAAGCTTGGTGACAATTCAGCATTGTCACCAAACCCTACAAACACAGAATGCGCAATACAGTACAAAGTCCCAGGGCTACACCAGTAAAATAATCATAACACAACACAATCAAAAATAGGGATTGATTTCTTCACCACATAAAACCTGAGACTTTATGTTACGACATTTCCCAAATCTCAGACTATTAATATTTTCTTGGGTTTTCTGCACTCATGTGTTTTGTGTAACAAATCTGTACATGGAATGTTAGTATAGTTTAAGGAATTACCTACACTTCGCACCAGCCAAGGTATGAGAGGCACAAATGAAAAGCACAGAAGGTTTCCATGTGTTGGAACAGCAATTCCTCTGACATTTATGATTTATAAAAATTGTTTTATGTAGAGAAAAGTGATGCAATGGCTTTTGTGCTTAAGCGAGTGAAAGATATGAGAGGACAGAGAATCTTCCAGTTGATGGATGCCGGTTAAACCATAATGAAAAAAAACTTCAAACTATCATGTTCAAAGCACGAGGATTACTTAGAAACAATTACAAACCCTCTGAGAACTAAATGCTTATTCCCATGCCATGAAGATCCGACCCCCCCCTCTAAAGACACTGAATAAAGCTCACCTGAGACAGCACCATACAAAGCTGCAATAGCAGTATTCAGTGCACCAGCAACAAAGGGACATGACCAAAGAGCATTTTCTGAACGTCTGCATGAGCTGTTCTTTCATGCAACTGAAGCATAAAGTGAGTAATACATTGACCAAGTGTGTGGGTGTTAGCCATTTTTTAACAAAAATATATAAAATTCCCTTGAGCAAGAACTGTGATACACTAGCTCCCCATAAAGAGACTTGTAGCCTAGAAGCTTTTGGACACAGCAAAGTTTTGACTTCACTGACAGTTTGGCTTTCTTTGTATATCAAGTAGGAGCTGGTGAAAGAGAACTTTCCTAATGACCTTCCCTTTCTACACTGGTGTTCAGAAACATGTACAGCATCACCTGATAAAGCAGCACTGAAAAGTTTCATCAGTAATATACCAAGTATCAAAAAACAAAGTATCAAAATAGTCACAAGAGGAAAACAAGGTTCTAAGTGCCTTTTGAGTAAGTAGGTCATGGCCTTTTCTAACTGAAGAAAATAGTATGGCAGCGCTTCAAGACCAAAACATCAGTTAAAAAGGAATCACCTGAGATTACAGCAGCATTCCATCTTCAAAAAAAGAATTCTTAGCTGATATCTCAGAGCATTTTTGGATGTAAAAACAAGAGACCAAGAACAGAAGCAGAAAAGAGACAGCGCTCTTGCAACCCCTCAGATTCCTCTCATAAAGGTGAGCAAATGAACAGAGAAAAAAATATTGTGTCTCTCATGTGGAGAAAGGTTTCCTTTATCTTCCCTTCAAGACACCACACATAAGACATATGCCGCCTTTAGAAGAAAAGAGACAAACCAAATGTGCAGCTCCAAAGAGACAAGTCCTGCTGAGGAAAGTTAAGCATACAGAAAAAAAAGGGTCTCTCTAACACTTCTCTAGCATCAAGACTAACAAGTATTGAAGAAGGCAGACTACTCCTTCCAAGGATGCATGAGACAACCTTTTTCCAACCAGAAATGTTAACCTATGCAGACAGGACAGGGGACATTCTTGCCTACAAATTAAAAAGTAAGATCCTACAGAAACTTCATCTTTTATTATAAAGAAGGGCATCTGAGCTGTCACTCTGACCACACCTCAAGAGAAGTCAAATAAACCCCATACCCAAAAGTTTTATATTAGTATTTTTACTTCCATCTCCTTTAGCTCTCTGTACAATTTTCTATTTCTCTTTTTTTTTGTGTACCTAGTTAAACAGGTCCTCCTGTTAACTATTTCTGAGCTTTCCTCCAATCTGTGCTTCACCATAAAGAAATAAAATCTACAGTACAAAATAAAAAAGTAAAATGGAAGTTCACAGAGTAATTGTCCAGAAGTCATTTCACATTATCTTCTGAATTTGAAGCTAATTCAAAGCTTCTGCCTTCACCACATACCATTCTGTAAATAAGTTCTGTATTACAGTGCCAAAAGCACTCATACTTCTAAAGTTAGGTGGCCTGTTATTATTAATTTGACCTACTGCTGTTCCTTGAATTCAGATGTTTACTTTAGAGCTATACAACATATCATATTCTCATTGGATCTGCAGAACAAGTAACTGCACTTAACCACAGCAGATGACAGAATCATACAAAATATATTAACTAGGAATTTTGAATATAAACCATGACACCTGATTTTCCAAGGGTTTTTCAATGAACATCAATGGCCCAGTATTAGAAAGCAAGATATAATAAGTTAGACCTAAAAAATCCTTTTTGGCAGCATCTGTAAAAGGGAACTCAGTAAAAAATCACCCAACATCCACATTAGCACTGCTTGTACCACCAAAGTGTGTATTTCATAGCAATATAGTATTTGTTGGCATACTAATCTTTACAGGACACATTTTGTTAAGTATTTCTTCTATCAGCTCTCCTTCCTTTATATCTTTGGTATCATTTAATCTCTTTTTGATATGGAATACTTCAATTGCATATACTGACAGCTTTTCCCAATATTATCCCCACTACATGGTTTGACCTGTTCACTTTCTCCTTCCATTCCTATTCCCTCACCTCCTCACTAAGAGCTTCTTTTCTCACACACAGTGTTTTTCTTTACTATCTTACCATTCCCCAGGTTACCAGCTCCTGATCCTGCAACTGGAATTTCCTCAAGAATTCCTAATATAAGGAAAACCAACAGGATCAAATATGTTTTTAGATGAAGTGAGTGTAAAAACATGTTCAGCTCACCCCCTCTGACCAGACCAAAAATAAAGATCAGATAAATGGCATCACCTTTTGTCTGACTGCTCTGTGCTTCTGGCTTCAGCTTCATTTCCATATGAATAGTTACAGTGCCTAATTGTACTATATATTCAACCTAAAGCATGCAGAGAAGATAGAGTCCATGGCTACTTGAAGCAGGATGATACAGCAGCCATGAATCCTCAACCTCTTTTACACAATTTCCTCTTCCTACTGAAGGAAGAGCTCAGACCTACCATTTCAAAAGTAGTGTCTTGTACAGACATAGTAATTACTGCCCATAAAAATTCCAACACCAAAATTATCATTACACAAATTAAAGCTGATATTAGGAGATGCATTAATTCCTAAAAAATATCTACATCTCTGAAGTTGCTATGAAAACAAGACACCAATTTTAAAAACATGAAGAAATAAAGAAAATTTTAGTCAGTCAGATACAAAACTGATAAATATTAGGAAGTAAAGTTCACTAAACAGCCCTATTTGTAGCATTTAACATCTTACATTAAAAAAAAAAGGAAAGCATAAAGAAGAAAAAAATTACCTTACTTCAGCTGGTGGATTTTGTGAGTAAGGATTTGCAGAGCATGCCAAAATCCTGACTACAGCTCCAGGATGATAGGTTTCCAGAATGTGCACTGCAGTGGGATAAACTGGTTCCTCAAAAGCAAGTTCCACATAGTCTTGGCTACAGAAGGTGGATGGTGTCCTCTTGAAAGGCAGCCGAGCGCTCGGGCAGCGATCCCACCAGGTGCCGTAAGTTCGAAAGACAGCAGTCTGGGTAAAGTCACCAGAACTAGGGTACACGTTGGGAAAGCCTGCTAAATTCCACATGGTATAGGACATGCTGTTCTCACTGCCATAGTGAGAGCTGAAATCCAACACTTCTTTGGCATACTGAACTATTTCAACGTTGATAGGTAAGGCTCGGGTGTTTGATTCAATCGCCCTCCGACTGTTCATTTCTCCTCTTGTCGCTGTCCTAGCTCGGCGCCGAAGGCACATGTAGTAAAACATGCTCAGAACTGTTAACATGGGAAACACTGGTGGCATCTAGATAGGATTTAGGAAGATGCAAAAAGTCAGGAGTCCTTTATAAGTTTCATTAACTGCCTGTGGTGTTTTGGAAAAGAGCTGATAAAACAGAATGAATAAACACAGTGAGCAGATACAGGATTCTTAGAAAGCAAATTGTGCTGTTGTGAATATTGTCTTAAACAAAGTGCTGCTACTAAAATATTAATAAATTATTCAATTTTATTGTAAGACAATTGTTTAGTTGGAAGCTACTAAGTGTGTCTTCCCATTTACTTTTTACCTTACTTCACATTTATTTTTTGTTTAAAAAAAGACAAGACTATGAAGAAACATTAGCCAAAACCAGCCATCAAGCAACAAAAAAACCCTAATGGTCAAAATAAGCATTATCTTTAGGGATTTATTACAAGAAAAAAAAATTGCAGTGACTCAGGGAAATGAATTCAAGTATGACATGAAATTTGGCCCATGCTGTAAACAACTGTGAAAGCACATCTGAAGATACACCTTCCCATTGTGAAGACACAGCTTCTTAAAACCAATGTTAAAACCAATGGTTTTACTTTCTTTTAAAAAGCGCAAATAGTTTTAAGAGCAAAAAGAAGGAGCTTTTAAGCTGTTAATCTAAATTTAACCCACTGCTTCCTCTATCAGAGTGCTAATCTGAAACAGAGTCACAAAAATACCGCCTTTACCATTTGAAGTTGTCCATGACAGCACACACCAACAACAGAAGGGTCATCAGCCTCCTGAAGGATGTTCAGAATTCACTAACAACATCATCTTCCTTTAAACCATGCAACAAATGAGGTCTTCAAAAGAGTCCTGGCATCAGAAGCAGAAGTCCCCATAGAAAGCATTTTAATTCTGATGAGAGAAAATATTTTCATTAAAGTAGCAATTCAGTTAAACACAAAATGTACTTTAAAAACCCAACACAAAATATATTATTAATTAAGAATACCAATGTGTTTTACACAGCCTACACCAACACAGGTAAAACAATCAAAAAAGCAGGTTTAGCAATTAGAAAAAGCTAAATTAAAGGGAAACTACTTAACTAAAGTTTTCTGTTTACAACAGTGAAGAAACATTTATAGCTGAATGTTCTCTACAGGACACAGGAGGGCTGTATCATATTTCCTACTAATAAAGATCCTCTTACATATGCTTGTCCCATATTGAGCAGCTGCTCCATACCTGCATGATGTAAACTGTGAGTTTTACCAACACACAACGAAATGTGCAGTGTGTATTCTCTGATTTCCACTGGCATTACACAACACACAGGCTATGAGTTCCAGCTCCACAAACTCCTTCTCACAAACTGGCCTTCTCATTGACTTCTCCATCAGCTTTACTAAGGGATGTTGTACAGCTTTACTTACATAACAAGTAATGCCTGTAACCCATTAGAGGCCAAACAGGGATGACTAAGCATGTCTCAAAATAGAATAAATGTTTCTTCAAAAGCCTGTGCTGGAGTTGCTGCTTAGTTCACCATAGGATACACACTGTGGCAATCTCTGAACAGATGTGACCCTTCTATTGCAGAAGTAACAACAAACACATTGCTCCACACTGCCAGGCAGACAAACCACATATTTAATGTTTGCAGTGGGTACAAGTGAGACCCTACTATAGCGTTTTTGGAAGCATAAGTTTAAAGTAGGGTAAATTATTAAACAAATGGAAACTTTTCAAAGTCTCTACACAGATCCACAGTGTATGTTTGCTTGTTCCCATACTCACAAACACACAGAGATGTACAAACAACTCTCTTTGGCATGAACGTTTCCAGCAAGAAGGCACTTGTGGTAACAGATAAGGAAAGGCTGCACTATTTGCCCATTTTACTCAGACAGCTCTCTTTGGCATGAACGTTTCCAGCAAGAACACACTGTGGTAACAGATAAGGAGAGGCTGCACTATTTGCCCATTTTACTCATGACAGAAAGAAAGTTTACTAATGAAGTGCTCAATTCTCACTTTCTTGCTTCTACTATTATTGGCCTTTTGTTTAGTTTCATATGTTGATGTAGCCGTCAAGGACATGAATTACTCCTGATACGCAGTGCAGAAGGGAATGCATAAAACAATATGCCAGATTTACTTCAAGCTCCCCTGAAATGCCAAGAACCAATAATGTCACATTTCCCACAAACAACCTAAGCCACCTTTCAGAAAAGACACTGGGAAAAAAAAAAAGTAGCACAACCCTGAACCTCTCCTCCTTAAAAGAAAAAAAAATACAAAGAACTCCAAACTGAAAATAGTTATTTCATTTTTTCAAAGCAGAGATGTTTTGATGTAAGATGTAAGTAAATATTACAAATACATTCTCCTTCTAGATTTTTCCCCTCTTAAAAAGAAAGATCTACTTAAAGAATATGCCAACAGACATTAAACTTCAACAAATGTTCTGCTATCAAGCCCTGGAATCACGGCTCGATCACCTTCAAACTCAAAATTTTACTGACTAAGATGATTTGAAGGCTGCTCCACAGAAAATATGGCCTTACAGATCTCAATTTTAAGACTCATTCAGCTGTGGTACTTGAAGATCAGTGGGAATCACTTATCTCACATAAGCAACCTACACAACTTGACATCTGCACTGCAAACTGCAGGCTTCCCCTGGCCACAGCCTGCAGCTCTGGAGACACTGCTGTAAAACCCAGCTGTGCTCCTTATCTTAGCTTGTCCAAGAGCAGCAAAACCACCCAGTTCAGAGCTGTATGTTAGCTAGCTGGCCAGTTTAAGCCAGGTCTAAGAGAGGAAATAACCTAAATCATCCTGCAGATCTTCCATTAGCAGTAATGTTAATTTGGGTCACTCTCCCTCTAGCAAATTGATAATTTTGTAAAACCCGTAACAATTTGAAATCCTTGACACTGACACAACTTTGTCAATTTTGGCTGGCATTTGTCAACATGGTCAAAAGTAAGCAGGAACAGAAAGCTTTCTTGTAAACTTATTAGTCTAAACAACAGAAGTGGATGCAAATTAGTTTTAAAGAGTTAAAAACCGTATCAGATATAGTAGCTTATAACAAGCAAGACAAAACTACTATAGAAAAAGGATTAAATAACCATTAGGACTACAATACAAATCGGAATTCTTCTTTTGGCATTTTAAAAGAAGCATTAAGAATTGTGTGGAGTTAAAAAGACAAATGAAAAATTGCTTCAGAGGTTAAAGGATAATAAGCTAGTGAAAGAATTACATTAAATACAGATCAGTAGGGCCAGATGATACAAAGAGATTTTTTCAGGGACTACCAGAAGTCAAGCTGATTTCTAATTAACAGGATTTAACTTTGCAAAAAAAGATAAAATGCAGACACGGGTCTACACAAAGCATCAAGACAAACAGCTCCAGAGCTCATGTACATGCAAAGTTTATGTCAAAAAGTTCCTCTTCTCTCAAACTTCTTGATTATTTTAAAGAGATCCACTTAGGCCCATGCAACTATGCCTTCTGATCTCTGGCTGGGTCTTTGGCATGTTGTATATGATTATTTTTTTTGTACAGGCATAATTATGCTAAACTAAAGCCTAATAAAGGTTTCTTATAAGTGTCTCTTTGTATCCTCCTCCCAAGCAGCAGCCTTCTACATATTTTGTTTCTTTTATATAATGTTTTGTTTTTTTTCCTGTCAATACCATTAAATGAACTGAAATAGTGCTATGAAACACCAGAACCAGTTTTCAGTCTGTTCTTCTCCCCAGACCATCTTGAGTGCTGGCTTGAGGTGGGGGCAAGACTGCACAGGCTCCAAATCAGACGAGCTCAGAGTTCTATCAAAATATTACCTCTGCTTTTACAAGACAGACAGGACTCCAAAAACCACTTTGGACTAGACCTGGAATAAAACTTTTTTAAGAGATATTTTCTTTCAAAATACATTACAGTCCATCTCCAATATCTCTTACCCAAGCTAGTTTGGACTAGACCTGGAATAAAACTTTTTTAAGAGCTATTTTCTTTCAAAATTCATTCAAAATATCTCCAATCTCTCTTACCCAGGCTATTATTTAATTTATAACTATTTCAATTATATGGGCAAAGTCCCTTTTTCTAACCCTTCTTTTCTTCATACTATACATACAGAAAGGCTTCTAAGACTGTAATTCACTGCTGCCTTCTTCCAAGCACAGAAAAGCTTGACAAAGTGAAACATCTTACAGCTTCTGTACAGATTTCATGGGGAAAGGCACTAATTAAGTTAAAGCAGTCAAAAGCACTAGATCTCTTCAGTTTATTTTGCCTCTTTTTATAGGGAGTTTTTGTATATAAATCCATATTCCAGCTTTGAGGGAACCCATCCAATTAATGATTACTGTACTTGAAAAAACAGCGTGAAGCAGGTTTAGGCTGGGTATGAAGAAAATGTTTTTCACCCAGAGGATGGCTGGGCACTGGAGCAGGCTCTCCAGAGAAGTGGTGACAGCACCAGTCCTGAGTTCAAGAAGCATTTGGACAATGCTCTCAGGCACACAGTGTGATTGCTGGAGTGTCCTGCGCAGGGCCAGAAGTTGGACTCAATGATCCTGATGGGTTCCTTCCAATTCAGGGTATGCTATGCTCTATCTATTCATTTTGGTTAGTTTGGCAAATGCAACTCCTCAATAACCACAATTTTATCCCATACAAGTAAAAACGGGACAGAGTTATTCACCAACCAGACTGCTGAGGAAAAGGTGGGAAGTACACAGAAACATTGAGATTTCAAGGGGCTGTGAAATGAAGGATGCCTGTGAAAACATAACAAGTAACAGATACTAGATTTAGGGGGGGAAAAAAATAAAATATGGCACATTTCATCCCTGAGTCATCCCTGGAAAAGCACATGATAGGGAAGAGTTTGTACTATTTCAAGAGAAGCAAATGTTGTACATGCAAGCCATGCATATACCAGGTTTGATTTTTAAAGCCAGTGAAGTAATAATTCCTGTTTACATCAGCTTTGCTAATCTCACATTTGGGAGCAGTGAGCAGTTTTCCTTTATCTGACTATAAAAGAAACAGCAATATTGACAAATTACAAAGAATATATAAACAACACAAACAAGGGCTCGTATGATCTCTGAAGAAAGATTAATGCAATTTAATACAAGTGTCTTAGATAAAAGACAGTAAATGGGAAATCTCTTAATTATCTTTGTACACTAATGCACAGAGGGAATACTGTATCCCTACATTACAGTCTGAAACAGAGTACCTTTACCACAGGTTAGCATCTTTTGCTGTTAATTACCTAGACTATACCAACACTCTACACTCAACTTGTTGAAACTAGAAGCTATTATTAATTAAAAATTAATAAGCTATTACAGTATACATTAAATTCAGGCCCCATTGCTGTGTTTCTTCCCGTAATATATTCTGGCACTAAAACGAGCCACTTCACACACACTTCCACTGTTTGAAAAAAACTGCACACATAGTTCTATTGTTTGAAAAAAAATTGCAATAGATGGCAATTTTATCTATCTAAAATCTTATGTTGCCTTCATGAGCACCAAAACAGGCAAAATCCAAGAATTTCAGATTACTTCACTGACTGCATTCCTGCTAGGACAGACTCATGGTGTGGTTTAGCACTGAGATACAAGGGAGACAACTTTGGCACCTATTACACATTCCAAGTGGCCACCCTGCCTTGTGGAGGCGGCTTTCTCAAATAACAGAAATTGTTTCTCAACATGAGCAAATCATCAGGTAGCCCTTTCTATTAACAGCCTGAAGTTACCAGCATTATGCCACTTCATTCTGACCAACCATTCTTCCAGCTGTGGTGAAACTCTCCCCTTCATGTAAAAAATTTAAAAAAAAAATTTTAAAAATTCCCCACACTATTTTTAAAAAGAAATTTGTGTGCATTTGTCTTATTACTTTTCTCTTGAGATATCATACTGCCTCTCCATGCAGGCATACTCTGTGTAGCATTCACTTGCTGGTCAGCTGCTTCCTCACTGCACTGATCACAGCTATTAGGCCATGTAATTGTTACCTCCCACAGTCACAGAATTAATAAATCAATTGGGTTGGAAAAGGCCTCCAAGATCATCAAGTTCAACCTATGACCTAAAAGCGCCATGTCACCTAGACCATTGCACTAAGTGCCATGTTTACTAAAACACCTCCAAGGACAGTGACTCCATCACCTCCCTGGGCAGCCCGTTCCAGTGTCTAGCCACCCCTTCTGTGAAGAAATTCTTCCTCATGGCCAACCTCTATCTCCCCTGGCAAGCTTAAGACTGCGTTCTCTCGTCCTAACCATGTCCGTTCACATCCAATTGATGTCCATCTGTCAGCCTGCACCGTTAGCAAATAACAACCCACAAGAAGTGAAGCACCCCAAAGTACACACCTAAAAATAAAATAAAACAGTATCGCTAGTTCAGCTCCTATCCTGCCTTCTGTCGTGTTGTGACCGGGCAGCTGTGAAGCAGTGGAAGTGTGGAACACCGCAGGGACCGAGCAGCGGCGGAGGACCCGCAGGTGAGAGGAGCACAACCAGTGCCCAGCGCTGCCCGCTTTGTCTGCTCCCAGCGCTGTTCCTCCCCTCCTCGCTGCTCCATGCCATCCCTACCCCTTCCCACTCCTCCGTTCTCTCCACCGGCAGGGGCAGCTCCCGTCCGAGGGGGGCAGTTCCCTGCCCCGGGGCGCAGCCGAGGCCTAGGGACAGCGGCGGGCAGAGACGGGCGGCACTGCCCGGTGCCGCCGCTGCCTGACGCGTCCCCTCCCCGACAGCGGCAGCACCGGCCCGGCCCAGCCCGGCCCGGCCCCGCCAGCCTCCCCGGGGCGGGCGGAC